TGTTGCTGTCATGGGCGATCGGATAATGATTGAGCAGCAGTAGTTACGAGGTACTTACGGCAATCATGAGGGAAGTGAGGATGGCACTTTGCCACCCGTAGCCATGGGTACGCGGAACTCCTGGACCGAGAACGAATGAGGCCGTAGACTGATAAACCAGGGATGATTATTCCCTTTTTCTTTGTCTATGCTGGTAATACCTGTGGTTTCTAATTCTTTTGACTTACTTTTTGAATTGATTCACTTATTCTGAAACCTTAAAGGCGAGGGTTTTCTTAATAATCCCTGTTACTTAACGATTTTCTCGGAGTAATGTGGTGGGAAAAGTTGGCAGAGCTCTTGAAACTTAATTTCAGTTCCCATCCTACGTCGACCGAACGCTCTCCCGACCCCACTAGTATAGATTGCAATGTCTGTTCTCAAGTAATCGCTGTACAGACTGGATAACCCACTCTTGAACTTTGAATATAAATATGGTCTTTTTGTTTTATTGCTGTTGAAAGTGATTATCACAAAGTAGTTACATCTTATTTCTGACGAATTTCAACATCCCTTTCGCCAAAATTGACCACAGTTCTATTGATGGGCAGATAGCATTGCCTGCAAAGACAAAGGATACTCGCATGACCATTTTTGACTTAGCCGGCATCAGGCAGTCATACCTAATGCCGAGTGGTGTACCACCCGAGGTTCGAATCCGCGATCTTTTGATCAGAAGTTCAGCGTTCTAACCATTGAGCCATAGGTCTGGTTGTATTTATGGTTTCAAACACCTATTCTCATTGGGTTACCTATCTTTTTAACCTATATTTTGCCAGTTTCAGGGCGATTTTCAGAGTTCAAACTCGCAAATGAACTAACCTAAGTGGGGTCGTTTACCGTATTCTAAAACATTACTGTTTCAGCTTACTACACGTAACGCTCTCCACCGCTGTCCCAAATCGGAAGTCGCTAGTATCTTCGCTTTATTTACTCTGGTTGTATTTGTCAGCTATGTCTTAACAGGGCGGAGGTCAATTGCCCTGAAAAACTTCACTGTTTGTTCATTGATTCACACGATTCGAAGCCGGACCATCTTGGATCCCATGAATTTTACATTAACGGGCTTTCTTTATCATCTCTGATTAGCATCCTTTTCAGACCACCAACCTCCTCAATGCTTTTTCGTTTTAGCATCACAACTATCGCACATTTCTGGGCATAACATGTCTCCTACAGTTGTCTACACGTAGCAAGGACTACGTTATTGACACACTTGCTTTACGGGATCACCTGGAGTGCCTCAATGAAGTTTTCACTGACCCAGCCATTGTCAAGGTATTCTTTCGATTCAATCGATTTTTTTAGCTCGAGTTTTACTCTTCCGTCTGAACTATGCATCACAAAACTGCTAACTACCCAAAATCCTCTATTGTCTTACAGGTTTTCCATGGCTCTGACATGGATCTCATGTGGTTGCAGCGGGATTTCGGTGTGTACGTGGTCAATCTCTTTGATACTGGGCAGGCCTCCAGACTCCTTATGCTGCCCCGATTTTCGCTCGGTTATCTTCTACAAAATTTTGCTAACACAGTCACAAACAAAATGTACCAACTG